GTAACGGCTGGACCGATTTCTTTAGTTCTTTTTTTTGAGCTATAAAAATAAACTCCGACAAACGTTACTTCGACATTACGTTACGTTACTCCGACACTACTGAATATCGACACTTCGACCACAGATACTTCGGCACTACACTACTCGGACAAAGGATATTACGCCTTTGTCTGAGTAGTGTAATGTCGAAGTAACGTTTGTCGGAGTTTATTTAGGTAGCCCTTTTTTCGTTGTGTTGGTTACTGCCAAGATAAAGTTCTTATGTATGTAAAAAAATTAAAGAAACTGACCATATTAACTTTTCTTAAGACAGCTTAGGACTAAGTCTGTCGGGACAGCCAGTTTACAATAAATATTGTCTCTGAATGAACAACTGAATGAATGTTTGGTACGAGTATAATGTGTAGTGCCTTTCAAAAGGGATTTTATGAGTTGATTGATTGATACTTATTCACAATTAACAAGCAATAATTTTTGCGAAGTTGTGACTTCATACAACAAATAAAAGTGCTGCTGGCGCGGCCTTGACCTGCCCGCGCGCCGCTGCACTGGCAGGCTGCGCACGCGACGCTGCGAGCGCCGACACTCGAGCCGCAATCAAAAGATACAACGCACTACATTTGCCTCCTGTCCCATAAATAAACACCTACCCTTAAACGAAGTTCGAGAAGGGCGTCCCCCCCCCCTCTAAAAACTAAACTGTTGGCTTGAAAAATCTGGAAAAAATCGTAATAATACTGCTTTTCATGAACTTTCAAGGAAAACTTTAACGGTTAAGATACATTTAAGTTAGTTTAAGGCTGGGTTGCACCATCTTACTTTAACTTTCACGAACGATGTTTCAAAATAATAAGAAATGTGTTGCTAGATGCATTTTCCAATATTTTTATTTTCTGCATTATATTTATTTTGCACAAAATGTGCGCATAAAGTTGGAAAATTAAATATGTAACTGGTTTATGATATCTCTAGAAACATTTTTTTTTAAATCGGTCCTGGGAGTTATTGAATGAGTAACATACGATAACAATGATTACGATGAATAGGGAATATTCTCCTTTTTGTTAAGTCGGTTAGTTAACAAGATACTAATCATTTTGAAAAGTAAATAAACCCAAATTATATTAAATCAGAAGCAGAGGTGCCGGCGCGTTACGTGCGAAGTGCAGTGCATGGAAATGAAAGTGCTACTCGTATGTTATTTCGCAGTGATAGTTACACTTCGCGATCAACCGTCGTCCGCTAGCTAGTCGGGCACTTGAATGACATCCAGTCTGTTGTTCACTCGCATGTAGGTATTTAACCGGATTCGTAATGTGACAAGTAGTGGCAGTTGTGTATGAAGGAAATAAAGAATCACACGATTTAGGTGTTCATTGAATAGCACGTGATCGAGTGGCACCGTTGGCAAGGCCCAGCGAATATGAAGTGAACAGCAATTATCGGCAAGACCTAGTCGACAACGGCCGCGATTGCGATCAGTCAAAGGAGCGGACAACGCGTCGCGCCGCGCGCGCGCTCGTATCTATATCATTATATTCGATGAGATTTTCAGTTTGAATTGCAGCTCCTTTGTAAAAAGTTCGCGACTATGATTGTTTTAATCGCAACATTTCCTTGTACCTACGTAGTTTCTTCGCTCCGTGAAGCGATTTCGAACCAAAATCTGACACGAATGATACCTACTCTGTCTAGGAGGCACACGGCCCATAGGTCCGCTGGTGCCCGCCTCTCGAACGCACTCGCTACCCAGCTTCCTCACGGCTGAGGTGGTAATATACAGTAACGATACATATAGGTACTGTAGGTTTAAATGCATCGTGTCTGGCTGGAAGGAAATTGTTGTCCTTCAACCGAGCTCCCCCCCACATTTTCCAACGCAGTGCCACAGCGTGGTACTTATTCATGCACATGACTCACGTTTTATCCGCGAGCATAAAGAACGGTTACAAGAAACAATGTAGCTAAGAATAACAAGTAAACAAAATGCATCAATAAAATGCAATTGCACTGTTCTAAGCGATAAACACTTATGGGCATAAATGATTCGGAGGATTTAATTGTATTGTTTCAGAAGCCGTGAAATTATTGATCAAGAACAATGTTGGAGAGTGTATTGGCGTGTGGTTTTGGGAACGCCGCTACTTGTTGCAAGGCTGCAACAAGCAACCGAGCCATCCCGCGCACTGTGAACTGTATCTCAAACATGCAATAAATTTTTGGTCATAATAGGTACCTACAATAGTTTTTCTTATGAAATAGTAAGGTGGAGAGAAAAACTGGTCAAGTGCGAGTCGGACTCACGTACTAGGGTAAAAGATTTCGTACAAACTTGTTTGTAAATATGTGGTACCTACATACATAGTTTGCAATTTTATTTTCTTCTTTTTAAGAATATGATAAGATAACTAGATAAGTAAGATAAAATACTTATTTATTTGTTTAAAACATTACTATCTTTTTCATTGTACCTAATAGGTTTTCAAAATCTTTGGATTGCAATTGCGTTGACGTGCATGATATTTTTTTACGATTCTTTTATGAAAGTGTCTTTACGCAACTGAACTTCAGTCATTATTTTACAGAGATTTAAAAATCTTTATTCTGAATTTAATATGAGAAGTTCATACAAGACTTGATTATAAGACGAGCATGCTCAAGCCAAACATCTCAATACGGAAAGCGGGCCTATAATTATGTATAATAAAAATTAAATACTCGGCTTATTGTATTAATATTAATATCATATTAATATTATGTATTTTAAAGGATTTCAAGTTATTGGGAACCCTAAAACAATACCTGTTTATTTATTATTTCAAATGGCACAGAGAAACAAAGCACAAGATAGAAAAATTAATCTTCATAAAAGTTTTACAAACCATGTTTAGGTACGAGTACTTTTGTACTAAATAATAGGTAGGTAGGAAATTATTTCTGCCGGAATGAATGGGACTCATAACTGTGTTAATTTCCTTATAACTTTTCAAGATTTGAATTAAAGCAAGTCATTCAATAAACAAGAGCCGAGGCCAACAAGCCCGCGGATGCTGCAGCGCTGCTCGCCGGGAGCCGACTGACAACTGGCTGAGTAGCTCCTCCCGACTGGAATGTCTAGCGGGGCTGCTACGTTACGTTTGAGCAGGCGGTGACCGCATGTGACGTCACCGGCGGGCGGAAGTGACGTCACGGCGCGGTGGCGCATTACGCAAAGCCCGCATGCGCACGAGCCACGAGCATTATCATGCACTCACGCAACCCAAATATTTAGTCGGCAACTGACTGAGTTTCCCAATAATGGTCATGTACGTTTACATTTAGATTTGTATTAAACATCGTTCGGGTTTTGCTTATCAATCTACAAATATGAATTAGGGAAACCCACTGTCACAGCATGATGCATCAGTACCGAGATAATACCTATCGAGGTTTAGGTACAGCATGTATACACTATACATATTATTATACCGAAACAATAAAATACTTCACAAAAAGGCCAAAATAAAAAATCATGACAAAGGGATCTGATGGAACATTATTGCGTTTTATCAATTGAATATACAAGACGTAATTTTTTACTGCATGCGCTCATTTGTACATGACTGAGCTCGACTATTCTGCATTGTGCAGCGCTTTCCATGCCACATTAAAGAAACTGACTAAACGAGACAACACTGGAGTTACCCTATGTAGTTAGGTAGCTGGACTTGCTGATAAGATTGCTAGGACAGAGGTCACACAAAATACCATTGATATACATTTAAATACAATGAAAATACTATTGAAATACAATGGAAATAAGTATTATAAATACGACATTGAATCTTTCTGAAAGTTTTCCGCGATGTCGCAACAAAACGTGCTCCGCTCCGAGACAGCAATTATCACGAACGTGATCGCTGCAGCCGACGGCTCGGAGCCCGGCCCGGCGCTGCTGCTGCGCAAACAGCGATGCAACTCTCGGCTGTTTGCGCAAACAATACCAGGACACTTGCACTTGTGAACTCCGTGTAACTGTACTTTTAGTGAGCTGCAGCACTGGCGGATTGTAAGCGTTTTCAACGCGGAGCGGAGACGCCGCGGATGTGCGCAACCTTTCCGCCTAGAGTTTTCTCATCGTGTTCGCCGCGGAGCCGCAGCGTCTCCGCTCCGCTTTGAAACCGCTTGTAATCCGCCAGTGTGGCAAGGCCCTTGATGAAACAGTGGCGTACCTACGGTCAAACGCAGGATTGGTGTGACTGCAATACAATTATTATAATAGTTACTCAGCCCCATTTCGACTTAATAGTTCATCACAATCGAACTAACTAAAACATCATAAAGAACAGTTTCATTGCTGTAAATGGATGTGTCTGTCGCTTGTTCGTGCACTTGACCGCCGCACTGGTCCGCGGTCAACTCCACGAACAAGCTTCAAAGCTGTACGAGAGTAATAAAGTTGAGCTTCCCTGGTGCTATCAAAACAACATCTAACGATTATTGCTTCTTTTTTCTGATGAGCAAAAAGTGTAATTTACATACAGCACCTCAACGTTGGCAAAAAACGCGAAAATCATTGAATGCCTGTGTAAGGTCAAAATGTTGCGATTACACTGGCAAGGTAATATTTATAATGCGTGTGAACAAATTGATCCTTAAAGCAGCCAAGTGCCTAATTAAGGTAACTGAGCAGTTTCATATCATAAAGGTACACGCGAGGCGCACACAAGTTGATCCGCAACATATTTCGCTTTAGCTGGTATAAAATAAAGTCGCTCGAGCGAATCGCATATAACCTACAGCAAAACAAATAAAATGTTTATTGTCTTTCGCGAGCAAACCTAAGTACACGTGTGTTCCTTGTACATTTGTATAGTGTTAATAATAGATAGGAACAGAGATAAACTATTTGATATAAGTTAGTGCAGTTAAACGTGAAGCAGCACAGCGGCGGAAGATGGTGGGGGGGGGGGGGGTGCAGTAGTAGTGCAGTAGTAAGAAAGCGCGTTTACTTTACTGACCGCTCCGGGGATGCCGGCCGAGATGAACAGCGCCAGCGTGTCGGGCCACGGCAGCAGCTTGTACTGCTCCCACCAGCGCTTCACCACCAGGCTCACGTAGAACCCCAGCACGAACGACATCGGGATGGACTCGCTCTGCGCACCGAAGTATTGCCGCACCTTCTCGAATATCCTGCAACAAGCGAACTTTCAGAAATTGTGACCAGGGCATCTGACTGAGGCACTGCTGACTTTCTTCATCGAGCACGCCGCGAAGTCGATCTGAACTGTACTCTGAGCTACACAGGTACACGTACGTAGGTACTTTCCAAAATTTTGGAGTAAGTATAGTGCTGAAACAATACGTAGGTAGGTGTTTGTGATGAGATATTCACGTAATGCGCTTTACACGACAGTATAAAATTATTCGATTCCCATTCGTATAATATCTCAGATCATAGATGATCTGAGTATAATATGTAGGCTATAGATCGAAATCCCTAAGGTGGGAATCTTCTACCCACCTAGGCAATTCGATTTTTTCAAGTTATATTCTAAATCTCTCAATCATCGCATCGTGCTCCTTTAGGAGAGAGGGGGAGTTGCGTTTGGATTAAATGTAATATGCTGTTCGTTTTCAGTTCTTCCAGTCAGTAACTTCGCTAAGTACCCAAAGTATCTGTGCCTACTCGAGACACGAGAGACATATTGATGACCTTTCGCCCGAAGGCGCCACTCTCGGGCAGCGCCACTCGGCACAAACACACTCGCTGCGCATTCGGCACGCTCGCCGCGGCCGCGGCTTCCTAAACCTGTCTTCGTAGTTAAGTGATGTAACTAATTACGGATTTGGTTAATCGGCACCAATGCCGAGGCTACACTCGCGGAGGCCGGCGAGCGTCGTCGTGGCCGGACCTAATGCTCTGGAACTGGACGTTCGTGCACACCCATTGTTCATATTTTTAGGATGATTTGATTCAGTTCATCGGTATGTATACCGAGTATTGAGTCTGCGGGGTGTAGCAGTCTACACACGGCTAAATCCATAGGGCAATGTATTAGGCGTAGGTTCCTTGCCTTGTGGCTGAAGCCTATGGCCAAGTGGCCATGAAGTGCGCGCTGCCGGCGCAGGCGCAGCCCGCGCTGCGCGCGCGTACAATGTACCTACATCGCGTGCGAGGGAAAGCTGCCTGTAACCTCCGAAAAATTTATTAGGCACCAACAAGGCCTCACTAATAGTAAGACATAATAATGAGATACATACCATAACATTCAATTATTCAATGTGAATCTACGTCATAGGTAAATACCTAATATAACCTTTAAATACTTCGAAACCGGTTTTTTCACAAGACACGGAAAACCAATGCTCATAATTTAATTACCTAGTTAATATTGTGTTATGATGATACAACCCACGAAAATAAGTGTGTAGTCTCCCACGCTAGTCTGAGATAACAATTGTTAAGATTAATTTAACGTTCCCTTTCGTTGGATCGCTACAATGAAAATTACTAAATGCTAATTTATACAAAAACTGCGCACCTACAAGCCCGCGTATAGAGCGCTATTGTGATTGTTATGAAGGAAAAACCGCAACTGCAATTAAATACGTAATTAATGATGAGATGCTTAAGTAAGTGCGCACAGGCGTGCATTGTTGGCGGCGTTCTAGCCTCGCTGGGCGCCGGTCGGCAATCAGGCAGGTATTTATTAGACCCAGCGAATCCCAAACGATTTAAAATGTTTGTGTTGATTAGTTAGTACGGTATCGACCACGTTCCGTGGTTGTCACAGTGTTGCGAAAGTTCCGCGGCTCAGCAAAGGAAATCGGCCAATTAGCACATCCGAAAGTTATCAACCTACATTCAGAAGCCGAACAGAACAAACCCTGGTTACCAAATAACAGATAGGTTTTGTGAGATTAAACTGAGTGTTCCACCAATAAGTACATAGGTATTTTTAAGTCCTAACAAAAAAGTTTGTTGATTTAATGAAATGAATTAGGCTAATACAAAAAAAGCGACTCCGAAAAGTCAGTAACTAACCTAAAAAGTAAAAAAGTGACAAAATAAATATGTTACTTTCTATGATTGATATTTTCAGAGTTGATGCCAGCCTGCCCACCAAGGTTATGAATAGTACCCAGGGTTTGAAAGGATAATAAATTATCAATGACAATTATAGTGATCTAATAACAGATGGATAAATTATCGGTTGATAATAACAAAAAAATACGCTCTTGTAAATGAAGTGTATTCGAAGTTTTCGAACGTGTATTTCCGCACTTGCGTCTAGTGGTGAGCGTCTTATTATAGATTATAGTTATAAAACCTATCTATTTAGCTCCACAATGGTCACTAGTTATCTAGCTTCAAAATTTTCCAAACTTTATGCGACCAGCGATGGATAACTTGACAACCAGCGGCTTTTGCAATAAAAAGGATACGGTCATTAACCGATGTTTCAACAGCTCGCTTAGTTTACTTTAGCTACTTTCATAGCCTAATGTCATATGGAATCATGCTATGGGGCAAAGCTGCAGATTTTGAAACAATATTTATTTTGCAAAAACGTGCGATAAGATACTTGTATAAAATGAAAGCAAGAGCGTCCCTTAGAGAATTGTTTAAAGAAATTGGCATTCTCACGGCCGCTTCACAATACATCTTAAACTGTATTCTATTTATTCAACAAAATATTAATGAATTCAAAAAGAAAAGTGATATTCACCAAATTAACACTAGAAATAAAAATAAATTGGCTATACCCGCTTTTAGACTTAATAAAGTGTTTGCCACTTTTATGGGACAAGGTATCCATTTTTATAACAAAGTCCCTGATAAATATAAAGAGCTACCGTATAATAAATTTAAAGGTATAGTTAAAGATCACATGCTTAAAAAAGCCTATTATACAACTCGAGATTTTCTTAATGATAAGTCATCCTGGGAGTAGGATTATGGTCCTCTCATGCTCGCACTAAAAAGAATTAAAATGAAAAGTAATGTATAAACTAATAATAATTTCTCAAATGTTATAGTGTCATGCTTCTCAATCTGGACTGTTACTTAGCTTTATTATTAGTTTTTTTTTTTAAAGAGATAACTTGGAATTGTCATTCTCACTAAAATGTCTCTGGGGTGGTGGCGTAGTGAGGCGGGTCGTTACATTCCCTCTAATATGGTCGAGTGAAGCGATGGCTGGTTCACTCGTCATGTCTGTGAACAGGCGCTGCTTTCGGGGACTGGTCAATCCAAGTTATTCAAATTTATGTATGCGAGTCATTTCTACTAGTATCTTAATATGTAAGTCTAGAAATTAGCACGTCACTACCTTGTTTAATATACCACGCAATCTTGTATACCCATTCTTATAAGATACACCATACAAGAATGCATGGTAAATTCAGTGAACTGCTCCTGAATCGAATGTACCTACTACTACTATTTATATTTATTTATATTAACCGGCAGACAGTGGTGACTGAGTTTGTTGCGGCGCTTCTTCTCAGCACTTGCCAAATGTTGGTCTCGAAGCGCTGGTAGGCTAAAAAGATTATGAGACATGTAGAGGCTCCTTAAGAGCAAAATGACGATTTGTAAGAACTATTTATTAGTCTAAACAAATAAAGAAATTTTGACTTTGACTTTGACTTTGAACCATCAGCAACCAAAAACATCAAGCAAAATTCGCAATCAGAATGTCTTATGATACAATATGACAAATGTATCTTTACTGTGGATAATTATCTGACAATTATCATGAAGCGTAATTATCTTGATAATTTCTCAAAAACTACGGGGGGCACAAATGTCGCTGCTTGACCATGGAAAGGCACAAATATAACCTACCTATTGAGATACTTTAAATCTGGATAAGGCTTATAGGTAAAAATCATGTTGCTGCAGTAACGTTTTCAAGCATTACTGCAGCGCAATCTTATTTTCTCCAATACTCCGAAACCTTATTGGGCACAAATGCAAGATTCTCGGCACATTTTACAGGATATACGGCACTAACATTTCCACATAAAATATGCACATCTTGATTAGCGTAACCATGTCGCTGAGGTAACGCACACTGCAAAACATACTTAAATCAAAACAGTACCTAAGTAGTTCAAGATTTGCGCAATCAACCAAACAAACCCTTCAACTTTATAATATTATGATACATTGCATTTTGAATGTCACCATGTTTTTTTTTAATTCACTGCCCTATATTCTGTATCCTTTCGCATCACCCGGGACGATTGCTCTCAACCCGTAAGCAGACGGATTGCACGATAGTCAGGTAAGTACTGCTAAAGGAGACTATTGCCCTTCCGACAAACTGTGTGTGCCAGGACTTTAATAATACCATATAAATAATTTACGTTGATAACTTACTTTCACGCATTATAAGAGAAGACGTAAAATAGTGAAGCTGTTTTTGCGATGACAACTGAGCAACCAGCCTGATACGCAGGCCCGAATTTTTCATACAAATTGGAAGCCGACTCAACTATCGGCCGACTTTAAGTCAGTAGTCTTCGGGGTGTGTGTGTGTATTGTGAACAGTAGGTTCTCCCCCTCTCCTAAAATTCCCGACAGGGTCCATAAATAATTACGATGCCACCTCTTATGGATGCAATAAATTACTAAGGAGTATGAGTATCATTCTAACTAATAAGTCAGGCAAATGATGTTGACCTCATCTAAGTTATAAATGTTATACGTATATTGAATAAAATTGCTTTTGAGACCATCAACTAAGTAGCTGAAATATGACGGAGCGGGCGTCCTTGCCCGGACCCTGATCTAATGCAATTTAAAATAACAACAACAGCTGATGTTACGAAATTCAATGACAGACTTTAGTTACCTGTCAACTAACGCCCATTTCCCTTAATCAATCCTTGTCCAAATCCGGATTTCAACTGTCAAATTGAATTCAGTTTTTTTAAAACTATCCACTATCGATGAATTTATTTACACTTTAATATTGTTTATACAGGGTGTTAGGTAAATGGGTATATGAGCCGACACTAACCCATGTTAACATGGGCATATAAATGGTAGATGAAGTTAGAAAATTGATAGCTTCATTTTAATTATTTTAATTTTCATACAAATCGGATTTTATAAAATTTATTTTGTATGATAATTCGTGCAATCTGTCTTTAAATGGCAAAAAGGGATATTACTATCTGTACTATAGGTATTGGCGACATTTGAAGGGATTCGTCGGAGGATTCACTCACCTTTGATGCTCCTCCGAGAGGCCAAAGCGGTAGATGAGGTTGATGGTGTAGTACAGCGTGAGGTAGGCCAGCAGCTCGCGCCACACCAGCTTGTACACGCTGCCGCGCCATCTGCAACGCGACAGTCGCCGGCTTAGCAACAAACAACAAGCGCCTTCGCGCTGAACCACACAACTATTACTTATCACTAGCTTTTGCCCACGGCTTCGCCCGCGTGAAAATTAGCTTGTCGCAGATCGTTATATAAATTATGCCCGTGACGCGTGAAAATAGTTTGAATAATATTTCCCGTTTTTGCAACATTTTTCAACACAAAAATAATTTTCAAATCGGACCAGGGACCCGTTTCATTCCAGCTGTGGTGCAACAGGGATGTTATGGATATCCGTAACCGTAACCGCAACTTTCGGATATCCGAAATAATAAAATATCCGTAACCGTAACCGAAACCGGTATAATATTATTCCTATATCCGTAACCGTATCCATAACCAAAACTACATATCCATAACATCCCTAATCTGCGACAAGCTAATTTGCACATTGTGCAATTCGGTATCGCGGTAAGTTCACGCGCAAAAAAAGAAGAAACAACAGCAGATCTACGCCACCGCACTTTGCAAAGTCCGAACACCTTATTTTTTAAACTACACTCGGCATCATTTAAATCGCACCTCCCGCGACAAGCACTTACAAACGTATGCATCCCAACTTCCCACCAATATTGGTACTATTTGAAAGCCTAGTAACTTCATTAAAGAAAAGGTTTTTACCCCAAAAATTTATCTTTAAAAGGATCCAGTTCCAGTGTCTCTTCTTAAAGCGACAGGTAGTTATGCTTGAGCCAACTTTTATGGCTATAAAACTATTAAATTGGGATTAATCGCTATCCATCTGTTAAAGAGGACACGTGAGATCATTATATTATATTTGGTTATAAAATTGGTTTAATTGGTCCCAGAGGTGAGCCCCAAGTGAGATCTTTTTTCAAGACACATTTATGGCACCTGTTAATTGTTTATAAAATAATGAAATGTGTTTTTCTTTAAGTTTATTTATTGAGCTTTCAAATAACACCAATAAGTATTGGTGGGGCACCATGTTTGTGTCGGAAGAAAATCTTTAAAGTTATTGTTGCCGGAAGTGCGATTTATTTGACACCAAGTGTATAAGTAATTACTGAAACACAGCAAATTATGTTTCGTGAAGCATTTGAGATAAGGTTGCTTTCTGTCAGCCTTTATGTTTTAGGGCTGATTTTTCAATCATCGGATAACTTTTAACTGAAGAATAAGTTTGACACATTGACAGTTTCAGTATGGAAAATTTGTTCAAATTAGATGACAAATTATTTCTTCGGTTAAAGATAGTATCTGACGATTGAAAAATTGGCCCTTATTCGATTGAACTAGCATGGAACTAGCTGTCAAAACGACGCCGCGATACGGATTTGTGATTTTCGCTCCGTGTTCCAGTAGCGTCGCAGCTGAAAATTTTTACTTACGGTAAAAATTTCGGGGCCCAGTAGTTCCTGAGACTAGCGCGTTAGTAGTAAAGAAATATTATAAAATATGCTTAATACCCATACCAAATTAAGGTCATAACTGTGGCCTAATTCACGTATTTTGACACAGTCAAAATCTTGTTGACGTTTAGAAGTCGTCCTATTGAAAATCTGTATTCACAAGGGTCATGATAAAATGATTTCTCGATAGGATCGCAACACAGCGATTTGTTGTCGTTGAAGTTTTGTTTAAGGTGAATAAAAGTAGGCGCACACCGTTGATTTTTCGTCGGCCGATAGTTTAGTCGGGTAGACTACGCCGATTCGATTTGGCCGATTCTTCATACAATTTAAAATCGGGCACAACTATCGGCCAACTAAAAATCAACGGTGTGCGCCTATTCTAAGTAAGGCTAGGTCTTATTCCTGCACTGTCAGAATCAGACCCATCGATTATTAATAGTCAGGAAGTACCTACACTACCTACCTACTACATGCTTAATAAGCAGCTTATTATTTTTTGCACACATCATTCATAGACAGTTAAATAATAGAGGTAAAATTGCTTCTCATTTAAAATAAAATTACCTTAAAATTATGCAAATTAAAATTATTGAATAGGTATCTTCTACTTATCTATTGCATACACTCGTGTAATGTGTGTACAAGCAGGCCTGAGTCAGCGTCAGTCGTGAGGATACAGAGTTAAATCGGCTTCAAATAACTACAATGATGTGGAAAATTGTTGAGGAAACTTGTCATGATGAAGCTCATCGGCGCCGCGGCGCGGCGTGTGCGCAGGACACACTGTTTCTTATAATTACTTATTTTTCTATTTGGAAAACATACAGTTGCAACTAAAATCCATCCTACGAAAAAACTAACTAGTACCACAGAATACATAATAGTAGCAACAGAAATTGCACTCCTTTGTGTAGGATCAGATGCCGGCATTTTAACGGTAATAATAATAATGCAAAATATCCAACGCACATGGTGCATTCGAAATCGCACCTTACTACTACGCTCACAAGAGCGCTATTTTTTTGTGTTCAGAATTGATCTACCTCACAGCTCAAGCGTCAGGGTTGTATAAGCAAAGTAAAATAAATAAAAACTTAATTTTAAGAAGCATTTATTGTATTTACGATTGGTAAACTTTAATCTAGTGGTGTTTGTATAATCGTACCATCTCTAAAGTACCTATTAATAAACTTCAGTGTTACAATAATTCGATATTGGACAAACAGTTTTAAAAGGTGTAGTGTCGGAAAACAGACACGGTAAAGTAAAAGTTAATGTTTTTATTTGGTAAAATATTTTTTTTGCTACAGTTTTTTGTCATAAGTATTTCAAAATTATTCAAAAAGTGTAGTTTTTTAAATTATTACAGTTAATTATTATTAAAATTTAAATCACTACAGTTAATTATTATTTCTAAATATTACGATTTTCCATTAAAGAAGAATAACAGTGCTGTTGGAACAATAAACCTTGATTTCAACGATGATCGACCGAGCGTGTATAGAAATACGCGTGTGCTCACAGGCGCGTCACGGCGCGTGGCGGTCCTGACTGATTTGCAACTTGAAGTTGTCGCGCGCTGTAGGTAATTATCTCGGCCGGCATAGGCGAGTGACGGAGGCCTGCTAGTACCTTTAACTTAATCTTCACTTGAACACTTGAAGCCCATGGCACCCCAGCTACAAACAATATGGATGACGTCATTGATGCAGCAAGGCGGAGATACCCTCAACTTTACCTTCAGAGGAAGATAAAAGATAACTCTGAAAACACACCGAAGTAAGGACTCGTCTCGCACGCATACTATGAGAGGATATTCATTCCATTGATCTTTGTAACGGTCTACCTGAAACATCAGGCAGCTTCCAGTAAGTCCATCTTCAAACATCATGTGTGCAGTGTGCAATCATTTTCTTGAAAACATCCCATATTCGTGAGTTCTGTTTACTTTTTTTGTCATCCATCTTATTATTAATTATTGTTTTATTTATATTTTTATTCTTATCTAGTGCCAGGGTGGAAGTGATAAGTGATCTGAACTCGATTATTACTGTAAACTGTACAAGATTCGAAAAACTGGTTCCTGATCCGGAAAGTGCTTCATGAGCTCTAACAAGCGGTATAATAGGATACAGCAGTGTTCTTTACTTTTACGGTGACATATTATCATATATTACCATTAGTACCCGCCCTAGACTTAGCAGCCCCTCTGAAGATGCTATTTTGTTACTGAAGATTGTAAACTTTTAATCTTGCACTCATTAAGATATTGGCCAAACCGCCCCACCTATACGAACAATTATTTTCTTCAGTGTAAGTAGCTAGGTACCTACATTTAATTTGCTTTCATTATACAATACATAGTTGTTTAGCGAACGAATTATCTCGGCCGATCGCGTGGATGGGGCCGTGAAGTCGACCCTCCAACTGCAAACTAATCTGATCATTGGCAGAATTCATTACCACCATTTAGGTGCTAGACAATTCTGAGAAACGTTTCAGGAAAATTTAAACTTTGGGAAATCACAATTCCATTTTCCTTATAGAGCACATTATATGCAATCGCTTTTTAGGGTTCCGTAACCAAAGAGTAAAAACAGGACACTAATGCTAAGACTTCGTTGTCGGTCTGACATCAGGCTGTATGTGTGATGTTTGAATAAACAACGGAAGCCTCGGGGACTCTTATTTAGGTTTAAGTGTTAAAATAACTCCCAGAGTCCTATTCAATTCATAAACGTAAAATGTAAATAAAATAAATATTTTATGGGGGCTCTCATAAAACAACAAAAACGTCATACATTCGCGCACGAGTTCGACTCCCACTTCCCCGGTTTTTGGTTTTTAATAAAAGGCCTATAAGTAGAGTGCTTTTAAGTCATTTTAACTGAATACTTAAGTAGGATACTTCCGCTTACAAACGAGAGTTACTTATTTTATTTTTAGAATATTTTTTGAAGTAGCTAAACAGCGTCTTAAGTTTTCAAAGGCGGTTTCTTAAAATACCTGTTGTGGCAGTAATATTTTATAATAGGTATTTACGAATAGCTATAATCATTAATCTTCTACCACAAAGTTACATTATCGCTGAAGTCTGATGTAAGTTACTCGTTTTTGCCGTTTACGAAGTGATTGTGTTGCTTTGGCCAGGCGACTCAGCAGGACTCGTCGCACTCCGCGCCAGATCGCGTTTGTTTCCTTCGTAAAAACCATGCTCGCTGGCACGAGACAGCCAAAAAACTTGATGGGCGTCAGTGTATTCAAACTCGTTTTAGATTTGGATGTTGGTAAAAACTCGTGTTTAATTGCATATCTAATCGCTTTAGCGCGTCTAAGTCTTTGAATATTCATAGAACAGCCGCGGAATGTTGAGATTTCGTAATCATTTTTCCCTAGCAAAAAGTTATTGTTTCACGAATAGTACAACTAACTACCTATTTATAAGACAAGTTCAAAATTGTATGATACTTCCAATAAGAGCGAAAAATGACTTTCAGCACACATAAACCCACAAGACACTCGTGAAAGCGCCGGGCTGTGCTCGTAGGCCAACTAAGGCCGCGGTCTTTCTTTTCAACTAAGGG